TTGGTCGAAGGTCTACGGGAGCCAGGACAAGTGGGAGGTATGTGTCAGGAAGGGGCTGCGCCGGGGGCTGTTCCGGGAGGCCGACCCGGCGCGCCTGGAGCCTGGTCGGCAGCCCCGTTTTCAGTGGGGCCATGTGCGTCGTCGAGGAGAAGCTCTTCGACGGGAGGTCAGGCAGCGCTTGCGGTTCAGTTCGAGTTTGACTCCGCTGAAGCAGCGCGCACAGACCATGCATGGCGACGTCTATCTCCTCCCTTTCATTGCCCAGGCAGTGTTTGTCGTGTTTCCGGAGAGCGAGTGCGCGATCGTCAGCAGCGAGGGTGCCAACAGCTGTTCCAACCTGCTCCGGATACTTCGGGGTTGGGATGCTGGATTTGGTGGTCCCCAAACGTGGTGGTGAGAACACCCGGTGGTGAGTTTTGGGCGATTTGGGTAATGGTTTTCGAGCGCTGGCTGGCCCAGGAAACGCAAAACCTCGTGGCGACCGCGTGTCCCCAAACCCGGTGGTGACCCAAATTTTTTCGGAGGGGAATCGGGGTCACCACGGGGTGTCTCACCACCTGGTTTGGAGACCACCAATGGATTGCCTGTCCATCCACGCTCCGTGTCGGGGGCCGTCTCCGGGCGAAGCTGCAAAACAGGGCCCGCGTCTGGCTCGCCACGGCTCCGATGTGCCGGACTGGCGCGGTGGCCGTCGCCCAGACGGTGGTTCGCAGGCCCGTCTTCGGCGAGGATGCGGACGACCTCGCCGCCGAGGCGTCCTCGTCCAAGGCGTTCCCACGGGGCCCGGACTATTCGCTCGCGCACCTGGAATCCGTCGACTTCATCCACGCCCCGTCGGAAGCCTTGACCGAGAGCCTGGCCAGGGAGGAATCTCCAGAGCATCCGAGTGGCGGTGTGCCGCCGGTTGGGCCTTCCGGTCAACGAGGCCAAATCGTTCGTCGGCGCTTTGGGGAGTTGGACGGGAAGGTCGGCATCTGCGCCCGCAGGGGCCGCGATTTGGCCCGCAGGCGCCGAGAAGCGACTGAAGCGTCGGTTCGCCATTGGGTTTGCCTCGCCTGCTTCTGCGCCCCCCTTTCTCTCACGGCGGCGATGAGGACTGGTCCTAAAACCTCTTCATCCTCCCCCCCGCCCCCCCTCTTCCTTCTCATCCCGATCCCCGTCGACCGTCCTCTTTCTCCTCCGCGTTGTTGCGCGGCGGGTGCCGCGGGTACAGAAAATCGCTACCCCCTGCTGGAGGGGCGCCAGTCCGTGAGCAAGGCCGCCGAACAATTATTTACTTACCACCTGTCTGGGGTCTACGGCGGTTACCGCCGCCCGCTCTACGCTATCTCGCAGGACATCTTCGCCCTCATTGGCGCGCCGGGCCTGCGGGGGCCGACCGCGGCCGAGGCGCTGGAGGAAACGCTCTTCGCGGGCGCACTCGCACCCCTGGCGGGGGCAGTTCTCTCCTGCCGCAGATCGGGCGATGCAACAGCTGCTCCGACGCCTCGCCGCACAGCGGATGGGGCAGAGGTGGCCTCCGACCCCGTGGAGCTCGGCACCCCTCCAGCCTCCGCGGAGGCACCCGGCGAGGCCGCGGGCTCCCTCACTGTGGCGGCGCGCCAGCTGGGCGCGGCTGCGCGCGAGCCCTGCGTCGGCGAGTGCGGGGTCGCGGGGGCCAGGCGCCAAAGTGCTTAGCCCGCCGCCTCGCGTCCACAGGCGAGGCTCACTGGGGGCATCTGGAGTCCGTCTGCGCCCGTTTGGAGCTGCAGGCGCCTGTTTCCGAGGGCGCGCGGCTCCTTTCCAGAGCTCGCGTCGCTCCTTTGGGGCGACAGCGGAGTCCGAGGAGCGCCCGGGCCACCTGCCAGGCTCGAGCGAGGTCCCCAAATTGACCCTCGAAGCCTTGGAGCCATGGCGGTGGGGTCACGGTGGCGTCGCACCGTCGAGACGTTTGGCTTTGGCAGCCCCACCGGTCTCGCTGGCTTATGGCGCAGCTGGTGGTGAGACATGCGGCGGTTGAGCAGTTGTCGCGCTGCTGCGCGGCCGCGTCGCCGACCGCCTCCAGCAGCAGAGCTGGATGGGCGGCGACGGGATGCAAAGCGCATGCGCGGGCGCTGTCGCGACGGCCTGCCGCGAGCATAGCGCGGCATCATGCCCCAGGGGTCTGCGGGATTAGGGCGCGTGGCTTCGCGCGCAGCTCCGTGACGCCACCGACCGGCTCGGCGAGGTCCAGCTGAACGAGGTCATGGCGCAGGAGATCCATCAGTGGACGGTCGCCATGAAACCGAGGGGCGCGGTGGATCTCGGTGCGTGCTTCTTACCACCGCGGCTCAGATGTACGTCTCTGGGCCTCGATGGTATCCAGGGCTCGTGCCAGTCTGCCCAGTATCCGGCTTCGTACTGGGGGTAGCGCTGGACACATCATCGCGTTGGTAGTGCTAGCTGTTGTGAACCACGTGAAGCTTTCGTTGAAGTTCGTCTCGAGCGTGTCGATGCGCTTTGTGCATGTGTTCGATAATGAGGTTGCCACGGCTGTGATTGCGAAGGGGCGGTCTTCTTCCCGCAGCCTGAACGGCCCCTGCGGGATCATCCCGCAGGGGCCGTTCATATCATGTCGCGTGCTATCTGCTGTCCGCCGATGCCAACCCGCGGCGTGGGTAATTTCCGGCTGGAGCTTCTCGGGTCAGGCCAGCCGGAGGGCAGCGCCGACGACGGCACCATGGCAGTGAAGTGCACCAGGCAGGTCAGGAACATTTGCATTCCAAACATCGAGCTCGAATGTTCAGTGTTTACACTACTTGGCCCCAAGAAGCCCCCGAAACAGCCCCCCAGATGCTTCAAAACTAGCTCCAAGAGGTGCCCGAGAAGCATGCCAATAGACCCCAACAGGTACGTTTCCAAGCAGCCCCTGACCACAGTCCAGGTACGGTGGTGACATGAGCCCAAGGCCAGTACATAAGCAAAGCATGAGCCGGGCGAAGGGCGCTGACTCCGCAGGTGGAGCTCCCTGTGGGGTACGACCCGCCCGTACAAGGCATGTGCCGAAATGGGCGGGGGGACGCCATGCGAAGTTGCCCATTGGTGCCACAGGCGTCCCGAAATGGGCGGGAGCATGCTATGCGAACCTTGTCTCTGGAGCTGTGGAAGGTGCTCCCTGTGGGGCGCGACCCGCGTGAGGGGTGTGCCGCAATGGGCTGATTGGACGACCTTCCTGTCTACTGGGGACCTACTGAATATTGAATCGATGGATGCCTGAATACATACTTTCACAGGTGTGTCATCTGTGTTTTCTCGGCTGCTTGGATGAAGGGATCTGGAATGTATGGATGAATGTCTGGTAGGATTGGTGTAGAAACGGGCGGGTGTACGGATGTGTGCATGAACGTTTGTGGGACAGAGCTGGAACGTACCAGAACCGAAACGCGCGCGAAGTGCGCGACGGCCCCTCCAGCCTCAAAAGGTCCAAGGCTTCCAACACTTCCACACCGAACACGCAGCCTGGCTCTGAGCCCGAGGCTTCCTAAGTGAATCAAAGCATTGCGATACGCTTTGGGATGAACTCCAACACCAATCGCGGCATGCACTCACTGTGTTGAGCAAGCCCTGCGCTAGAGCTGAGGCCATTCGTGGGTACGCGCATGCGTGCACCCGTGATCTTGTTAATGCGTGCAGCCGTGACCTTGTCACGGGCTGGCGTTTGCTAGGACCTAAGCGCGCGCGAAGCGCTCGCGTGGTTCTATCAGCAATGAGAGTTCCCCGCGGAAGCCCTCTTCAAGCACGCACCCAGGGATGGTGGTAGCCTAATTCAGAGTATTTGGGGCAGCACAGATGGAGGGGCCTGAGTAGTTGCAATGGCTTTGGAACCGATGTTGCAGGGATGCAGTTGTTTGCTCCTTGGACGCAATGGTTGCCCGTGGATGCAATCGTTTATTCCGTCAAACGCATTGGCTTCAGCCTCCTGCTATTTGTGCCTCCCTTGGCAATAGTTCGCGCGAGAGTTCGCGCAATAGTTCGCGCCAGTCCGCTATTGTACTTTCCACCGCCCCCCCATTGGCGTTGCCCCTATCGCTCCAGCCTGCAGTAAGACTGGTCGGCCCTCTCGACCTGATGAGATATTAACCGGGGCCCCTGGACATTGGTGGATTGGCGCGCGCCTCCGCCCAGCGAGTCGATAGTGATCGCGCGCGCCGCCCCGCGTCCAAAGATTTGGCGAACGGAAAGCACTTGCCACGCCACGAGCGGGACGCAATTTCCGAAGCAGACTCTGCACGGATCTGGTGCGAAAGTGGCAGATCGCCTTCTGCACGCGGCCCCGCTGGCGACGTCTCGGCGAGGGGAAACCATGGGGCCACGGATCGCGCACTGGCTAGAAAAGACGGAAGCCCTAAACATGTTTGCTCGCCGCTTCGGCGTGAACGTCATCCAGCCTTTTTCGCGCACAGCCGTGTCGTCTTTCGATAGGATTGGCAATGCAAAGCACGCGCCGCGCCTTATTCGGGACAGCATTGTTCACGCAACGTGTCGCCCGTTCGCGCAAGGCTCCGCTTCTGGCGACTGGGGGGTGCAGAACAATCGCACCGCTACGCCCACGACATGTTGCCTACTCGCGGTCGCACCGGCCGCCGACGAATTGGCGGCGAAAGTGTGCGCCGCCCAAGCAGGAGCGTACTTTCTAGAAAAATGCGTGGCGCTGAGGCGAGAGCGACGTTTCGGCAAGTCGTGCGCGATGTGCGTGTCTTCTCACTCTTGCTTTCGTCGCCGACAAATCGTATATGCTGATCGGGATCCGCCGATTGTCTTTGACACTGGTCCGCAGAAGCATGATGCTGCACAAGACTCATCAAGCAGACAGGTTGTGGAGAGGGGGCGCATATGAAAAGGTGGAAGAATCATGAAGAACATTCGGGAGGAGGGGGTAGAAGGACTAGGCGTAGACAGGAAGAAAACACGAGGGAGGGCGGAGGGATCAGGAGGAGGTTGATGATACGGAATTCGAAGATGGATGATACATCAGCGTTGAGGTACTGGATTGCGAGGGGGGCAACAACGCCATGGCAAACATCCGCTCCCTCGTCAATGCCGGCCGCTCGGGCGATCGAGAGGGAGGAGGTGGTTGGTGGAGGGAAAGGAGGGAGAGGCAGAAGAGGAGGAGGAGGAGGAAAAGGACGAGGAGGAGGAGGAGGAGGAGGAGAGGAGGAGGAGAAGGATGAGGAGGAAGACCGTCGCCATTTTGGCTCGCGTTCGAAACCTTTGTCGTGGGGTTTTGAGTTTTGGTTTCGGCCGCTGTGCGACATCTATCGAGGAGGTGCCCGACGCATTCGTTTTATGTCCAAGCTACAGTGGTAGGGCATTCACTCTTTCAGTTCCGTGTGTGATCGCCCACGGATTTGCGCAGATCGGGCTCGCGTGCCCGACATGCGGATGCCAGAGAAACACATTGCAATTTGCCTTTTGCTAACATGGTACAGGTCCTCTCAACTCTTGCTACTTCGATTTCTTCTTCGGGATTCTGGCTCAGGGCACCCTGGACGTGTATTGGAGGAGATGGTGAGGCTTCAGCCGAAGGAGGAGGGAACTGCTGTGGCGGCAAAAGGAGGTGGAAAAGGAGGGAAGACGAGATGTGCTACCCTGCGAGCACGCCGAGAGAATCGCTGAGAGGGCCAAGTTGCTCACTGGAGGGATTGTTGCCAGGGGCGCCCCCGCGGGCTGGGCCAGTCCTCTTTCCTTTCCCCCTCTCGTCCCCCCCCCTCCTTCTGCGCGCCCTCCTCCTCCCTTGGCCCAGCCGTTGGGGTGAGTTTTCGTTGCGGTGCGTTGGCTGAGCCTGATTTGATCAGACGCGCCTCGGGCCCGCCGAGGTCCGGTGGCAAGGAGGCTCTTGATCAGGCGATCTGGCGCCCGATCAGGAGGCGCAGGCCGCCGCCCCGCTCGAGCGGCGAAAACCGCGGCGCCCGCCAGCGCGCCCATGGCGGCGAGCAGCGCCGCCTGCGGCCGGGGCGCCCGCGATGCCTGCGCGGCGCTGGCAGCCGCCTGGAGGCCGCGACGCGCTTCGCCCGCGGCGGGACGACTGCCTTGCCGAGATGGGTTTTCGCTTTTCCTTGAATTCTGCAAGACGCAAGTTCCATAGGCTGTCACGGTGTAGCCGTGCTGGCGTGAGGTGAAGCAATGTGCATTTCCGGAAAGCGCGCGATGCTCTATCTCAGCATCGCCCCTGCCCCACGCCGCAGGCCCGCGGGGGCCGCCGTCGGCGCCGACGCCGGCGCCTGCTTCGACGCGGTGCGACCAGACGGTTGGCTACAAGCGCGGCCGCGACCAGCCGAAACACGCCCTGGGCGTTCAGTTACGAGAGTTGTCTGCCGCCTGCCTACCAGGGATTGGCCTACTCCGTCCTTGATTGGAATTGCGGCCAAAGACATCGCCGCGATGCCGATGCGGCAACATCGGAGCACTGCTGGCAAAAGCTGCGCCCGCCAGACCTACGCGAACAGCAATGGCAATGACCAGCATGACAAGCGCGATGCCAGCTACCTCGACGGAGACGCGCTGGAGCTCCCCAGCGTCACCGCGAACATCCTGGAGCCCACCCGCAAGGGCTGCAAGGTCCAATGAGGTGACCAGCGCGGCTCCAGCGCGGCTACCCGCGCGATTGCCAGCGCACCACAGCCACCGCGACAACCAGTACGACACACAGCAGTTCGAGCACATGACCCCCTTGGGCGCTCCACCCCAGAGTAAACCCTGGCGGCTGCCGCGAAAAGAGCGACGAGATGGGCATCCCCCCCAAGATCCCCTCAGGCCGCCCCCCAGTTTAGCCCTCCAGGTTGTGTTGCCGAAGATCACTCCCCCGTCGCTCCAGCTTGGTGGGCCACGTAACGCTGCCGACGAGATCCAGAGGTGGGTGGCGCAGCAACGGGGGCCGAGGCATCGCCGCCCCTCGCCGCGGCCATGCTTTTTCGAGCCGGAGGAGGAGGAGGAGGAGGAGGAGGAGGAGGAGGAGGAGGAGGAGGAGGAGGAGAAGGAGGAGGAGGGAAGAGGGGAGGGAGGAGGAGGAGAGGAGGAGGAGGAGGAGGAGGAGGAGGAGGAGAAAGGAGGAGGAGGAGGAGGAGGAGGAGGAGGAGGGGGCCTGACGGCGGGCGCGGCTGCCGCTCCGCCCCCTCCCCCCGCCGCCGCGGGGGTCCGCGGGGGCAGCGACCAGTCCGTCAACGGGGGCATTGCGCGCGCCGACGCCGACGGCCACGAGGATGACGCGACGGCGCCGCGCGCGGGCGGACAGAGCCGCGCCGTCGACGCGCATTGCGCCCAGGCGGGCCTGGGACCACTCCTCGACGGCGCGGATCTTTTCGACGCGTTCAACCTGCGCGGCTGCAAGTCTGGCAGAGCTGCGCGGGACCTCTGGCGCCCTGGCGTCGGCCCAGGCTTCGGCGCGCTACCGAGGACAGGCCTCCGTCGCGAAGTCCACCGCGCACACGCGCGGGAACGCTGTCGACCCGCGCGAGGCCAAAGGTCCCAGAGACGCCGACGTCGACTTGGAGGCGAAGGACTTGTGCACGTCTTCCCCGCGCCTACGCACACGAGGCCGCCGACCTGGACTGCGTCGTCGGATCAGATGGCCGATTCGCAGCGCCGCTGGCCCGCCGACCAGGTCCAGGGCCCTTCGGCCACCGACCAGCTCGCCGAGTCCTGCGCCCACGAGCCCGCCGACCAGTCCGGGAAAGACAGGGGGGGGAGGGCGAGAAAGAGGACAATGCGCGCGTGGATCGGGACGAGAAGGTGAAGGAGGGCGCCGAACGCGAGTTGGAGAAGGGCATCGCGCGCGCAGGGGATTCTTCATCCCGCCTGGCCCCGGCATCTCTGGCGGAGGAGGGCGTGGGGGAGGATGGCGATGGGGAATCGAGCGCTCGTTTGGCAGGCTTCGGGGGCGCGCGCAACCTGCCCAGCATCGGCGCCCAAACCTACCCGCGGTTGGCCCTGCCGCGGAGGAGCGCCTGAAGGAACGCAATGAGTCCAGAGTCCGCTTCGACCCAACTATCCTGGGGGGCAGGACAAGGAGGAAGACACCGACTCTCACAACCAGCCCACAAAGAAAAAGGTGCCGCGCCATCTCGTCTCTCCAGGACCAGGAGCGCGAGTGGAGCAGGAAGAGCACATGAAACACGCTGGGCCCACGGAAGGCCCGCGCGATCAAGGGCGCATCGCCCATCATCCACGAACGAAATCATACGCAGCTTGAAGCGGCTGGTCACCGCAGGAGCAGTAAGGTCGCACAGCGCCGTGACAACATTTAGATCCTGAAGGCTATGGTAGACGCCAGTGCAGTCCCTCATGCTTCAACCACCAGCGGCGGCGAGCCGCCGCTGCTATAACGAACGGGCGGTGGCTCGGGATCTGGGCGGTCGCACCACCAGACCACTTCGTGCCCAGGTCCGCCCACGTCACCCCGCCCTCTCGCGCGCTTTCTCGCCACGGCACTCTGCGCTCTCTTGGTTCCCTGACTTCCTGGCGGCCTGGAGACGCGAGGAGGAGGAGGAGGACGAGGAGGAGGAGGAGAGGAGGAGGAGGAGGAGGAGGAGGAGGAGGAGGAGGAGGAGGAGGAGGAGGAGGAGGAGGAGGAGGAGGAGGAGAGAGAGGAGGAGGAGGAGGAGGAGGAGGAGGAGGAGGAGGAGGGAGGAGGAGGAGGAGGAGGAGGAGGAGGAGGAGGAAGGAGGACGACCTTCGGCTCTGGCCCCGGCGCTCCGCGGCTCCGCCGGTGCGAAGCCTACCGTGCACCGCTTTTTGCGCGGCAGCGGGCGCGCCGCGGTCCACTCGGGCCGCGCAGGACCGCCTGCGAACTGGCGGCGCCCCACGGGCAAGTCACCCCGCCAGCTCCGCTCTGGACGCCCGAAATGGGTACCGAAAGAATGGGTGCAATGCCCAGCAGCAGTTCCTGTTCATTTTGGACAGGCCTCGTTGTCCACACCGCCGCGGCCTGTGTCCATTCGAGACAGGAGGCCGCCTGCCCAACAGCGGCCGCTGTTGGTTTGGGACAACATGTGTTGTTGGGCATCGTACCCATTTCTTCGGTACCCATGTCGGGCGTCCAAATCCAGGCAGCTGCCGCTCGCGGCGCGGGGGCGGGGGCGGGGAGAGGCGACGGCGGGAGGATTTGGGTTTCGAGTGCCGACGGAACTCTCTGCACGAGATGGTCCTGCTATATAACAGCCACGTTGCTGCATTCGCTGAATATCGCCCGCCCACTATAGCCCACGCTACTAGCACCGCTCTTGAGATGCTCGACAACGTGCAAAAACGATGTTTGCGCTCCGTTGGTCTCACAGAATTGGAGGCTCTGGTAATCTACAATCTCGCCCCTCTCAGTACGCGGAGGGACATTGCGACTCTTGGTGTAATTCATCGTTCTGTCTCGGGTCTTGGTCCCAATTCTTTCCACAGTTTCTTTCGCATCGATCCCTCTCCTCCTCATCCTCCTCGTTCCCGGCTTCGGCACCACCGCCGCCTGCGTGACCCGTGCGATCTTCGAGCTCAAGACTTCCTCCTTCGCTCTGCTCTTGGTGGCGTACGTTTGTACAGCATCCTGCCAGAGCGTATAGTCGCCGCCAACTCTGTCCGCGAATTTCAATCTCGATTGCAGGCTTTCGTTGTGTTCCGGGCGCAGCACAGCTACGCAGACTGGGATGCATCTTTGTCTTGGCGGATTCCGCTCGCAAGCCACCCTGTGAGGTTTTTTCGAGACTGGCACGGCTAATCCGGCTCCCTCCCTCTCTCCCCCCCCCCTCCTTTCTCTTCCCGTTCCCTCCTGTTTCTCCCTTCTCTGCTGTCGTTCGTTCGGTCGCCCTCTTCTCCTCCTCCCTCCTCCCCTCCTCTGGCCGCCGGGCGTGGATCACCTCGCGCGCTTTTTTTGGCGCGATTGCCGATCCAGGGCTCGGCCCTTCTCCCTCCTTCCCGCCCCTCTCCTCCCCCTCGTCGTCTTCTGTCCGCTGCTGTGCTTCTCCCCCTCCCTTCTTCTCTCCCTCCTTCCTTCCGTCTCCGTCATCCTTTCTCCCCCTTTCACAGAGAGCCGTGCCCGTTTCCGCACGGCTTCGGTAGTTTTCGCTGCAGGGCAGGCGTGTTCACGGCAGCCGGCTGTTTCACCAGTGGTGAGGTTGCTCGCACTAGCGAGCTTGCTTCCTTTTTTTAACATAAAAAAGTGCGCAGGAGCGACTTTGAACCACATGACCGCCGATGCCGCTGCCCCCCCCCAGGGTTTCTCCATGGGTGCGCTTGCCGAGTTGGCGATCCTTCCCTTCCCGTTTCGCGCCCCACTCCGTGATGGCGGCTCCCCCTTGACCTGGTTGCTCCTTCCTTGTCTCTCTTGCCCTCATGTTGCTCCGCCTTGTCTGTCTCCCTCGTCCGCAGGGGAGGTCCTCTTTTTGGCCGGCTCTGCTGCCCGGGCTTATAATACCGCGCCCTCGTCTTCCCCCCCATCCAGTTCTTTCGGACGGGGGGTTGGGGCATAGCGACGGGCGCGTCGAGGGCTCCAGATGGCCAGCGCGTTTGCCCCGATCGGCTGATCGATTGCGCTCGTATGCTGGCCCGCGAGGCTTGCGTGCTATAGGCACGGGTGGCTTGGCGTCGACTTTGTAATACGTTCGCAGCGATTGCGAGGAGCCGCGTGGTGTTTTTTTCCGGGTATGTTTCGACGGCTTTCGCCATTCCATCCCAGACAGCGGGCGAATAACAAACGTTAGCAGACACGGTTGCGCTGATTTGTTTGCTCTCTCTCTCTACCCCTTCGTCCCAAGCCCTCCTCCTTTCCGTACAGATCCAGAAGCGCAGGCTCGGTATCGCCAGAGGGCCTTCCCGCCTCGCCTTGTATTAACGCCTGCTTCCGGCGCCCCTGGCCCGAACAATCAACCAGAGTCGAAAGTGTAGGTGGGGCAGGGGTGGGCGGGTGCGGAGGTGGGCGAGGGGGGAATTTTAGATAGGAGCGCTCGCACCATATCTGACATCCTACGTCCCCACCCATCCCGACCAATTGCGTTGATGTTTTGGTACCGCCGACGGGGGTGGTAGCGGACCTCGAACCTCAAGACAGCATTCTCGTGTTATGCGCAATCTGAACAAGGGAGCTCTGCACATTGGAGGAGGAGGAGGAGGAGGAGGAGGAGGAGGAGGAGGAGGAGGAGGCGATGGCGGATGAGCAGGAGGACGGGCGGGATATGCGTCGGCGTGGAAAGGGGGAGCAGCAGCAGGTGCGGGGGGGGGGATGCGCAATGCAGGGCGGCTGACCCTGGGCGGCGCTGCGCGGTTTCGCGTGGGGGGAGGGCGCACGCCGGCGAGGCTGTCGAGGCGCACGCTGCCCGCATCGGGCGGTGCCAGCTTCGGTCGGGCCCACGTGGGGGTCATGCCCAATCTTCCGCCTTCTCGCGTTTCGAATATTCACGACGGGGGATGTTTGACAATTCTCTGGCTCGGGGGGAGGCCCCCACCAGGTCTCGGGACCGTCGAAGAGCGATTCAGCATGAAGGTCCCGTCCCGGGGACGGGGTCCGGATCTCGGGGGGCCCCACGCTGAAGAAGCGCGGCGTCAGGTTTCTCCTGGGCCAAGCGAAGGGCCCGACCCCTTTCCGTTGGGTTTTACCAAATTGTTTCTTATGTTTATTGGGCAGTCTTGCCCTACCCGATTTTCCCCTCAGGCGCGTTTGGTGAAGGGCTCCGTCTGTGCGGATTGGTTTGCCGAGGTGTTCGGAATAGTGGTCGGCACAGAGGTCGGCATGTACACGGGTGTCTGCTTCCCTGCCATGTTGGACCATCAGTCCTGCGGCTCTTCCTTGCTCTCAGGTATCGTGTGATATTGCAGCGCTCAGTGCTGCGAGAGGTGAGCATCGCAGCATTGGGAACACATGAACACATGTACACAACAGGGGTGGTTTCACTAGCGCGCGGAAGAATTGATGAAATGATGCTTGTCCGAACGTGTGCGAGTACATTGGATGACACGGCATCCATCGGCTGATTATTTTGAAGCCAAGCCCGACATGCCCACATCATTGGTTCATGTAATAGTTGTTATCACGTCATCTGTTTATGCTTTAGTGACCAGCATTCGGCATGATGGAAAGCCGGAAATTGATCGCATTGTTACGCGTGGCGCCAGTCTCGTACCCTTGCCATTCGCAATCATCTGCCACATGGCAACGCTCTCCCTCTCACACTCCTCAGTCTATCTAGCTAATGTGTTTTGTTTTTTGTTATACCTCTCTCTGTCTCATGCAGACCCGCTTCATCATCAGAACCATCATGAACTCCAGGGTGGGCATTATCACCAGCACTGTATGTTTCTCACCGTGAACGTGTGCACACTTCGCGTTGCAGCATGATGGCTAGCACCCAGCTTGCTGTGTGTGTGTGTCGCGTACTTCCGCGCAGGCGGCGGCCCACACGCACTGGCGTATGTGCCTTTTTAGGTCCAGAGTCTTGATGTATTGCCCATTCTGCCAGCGAGATGTGCTCATGGCGGGCGCTTTTGAGGTGTGGCTTCTTCAGGCGGGCGCAGCAGCGCAGTGTTCGTTGGGCTATTGCGTTCCACCTGCCACAGAGCGCCGGTGCTGCCTGGGGAGGGAGGCCAGACGCCATTCCCAGACACTATTTTCACCGAGGGGCTCTTGGTTGTTCGCGGACGACTTGCCCCTGTCGGGCGGGAGTTCGACGTTATCGTTGCTAGGTTTGTGCCGTTGGCGGCCCTCGTCGCCGGGATCCAGTCGTGGGACCCCATGATGGATCTCGACCGATTGGGTTCCACACGGTACGGTCCCACACGGTCGGGTCTTGCATGCTAGGCTTGAACACAACGTGTTCCCTCGCGGTATGGTCCACACGGTATGGCCACACGGTGAGGTCCTACACGGTAGGTCCCACACAATCGGTTCCCACACGGTAGGGTCTTACGCGATGGGGCCCACACGATATTTTTTTCTTTGTAGGGTGCATGGGTGCACGCCGAACATGGATTTCCGTGGCGAGTTGGATGATGAAAGAGAGAGAGAGAGAGAGTGAGAGGGTTGGAGAGAGAGAACGAGAACACACACACACACACACACACAAAAACACCGATAGAGAGAAGCAGAGTTGGATGGAGGGTGACTTGCAGCGCAAAATGGGCGCGTCTTGAGATGAAATGGCAATTGCGACACATTGTTTATCGACCCCGTGGGGCTCTGGGAGCTGTCGGATCCCGGGCCTCGCGCCGTCTTCTGCGGCCCCGTGGGGGCCTCGAGATTGGCCTCCAGAGGCTCCCAGGTTTCCTCTCTCTCCTTCCATGCCCTCGCCTCCCCTCGCCTCCCCTTCTATTCGTCCTTCTCTTGCTCCTTCTCCTGTCGCTGTCGGCTTCGGAGTCGGTGCAAACGCAGTCGTGAACTCCTCCTCCCTCTCCCCGTCCTGCTCCTCCTCCTCCTCCTTTTCCTCCCCCTCATCTTCCTCCTCGCCTTCCTCCTCCTCCTCCTCCTCCTCCTCCTCCTCCTCCTCCTCCTCGGGCTCCTCTTTTTTTTCATTGTCCTCCTCCGCCTCCTCCTCCTCCTCCTCCTCCTCCTCCTCCCTCTCAGCCTCTCTCTCTCCCTCCCTCGCGCTCTCTCTCTCTCTCTCTTTTTCGGCTCCCCCCCATCCTGGAATTGGACCCTGCTGCGCTCCACCTTGCCCAGCTCTTCGAGCTGCGTCCAGCCGTGACGACGAGGGATGAACCCCCAGGCCAGAAAGCGACGGTTGAAGAACAGGGCCGTCGAATTGACTGTGATCTCGGCAGCATCAGATGGGTCGCGGCCGTGGTGTCCTGGAGGAGGAAGGAGAGATGGAGAATGTGCGGATCGCTTTTGCTGTGTATGACAACATTGGAAGCAAGGAAGAGGAGGAGAAGGAGGAGGAGGAGGAGAGGAGGAGGAGGAGGAGGAGGAGGAAGTGGCTGTCGGGCCTTGGGCGGCACCCCTGGCCCAGCTGGGGTGGTCCCCCAAAGTGGCCAGGTCTGCCGTCTCAGGTCCCACGGGGATCCGGCCTGCAGGCCCCGGTACCTCGAGGGCACCCGTCCCTGGGTCGGCGCAATCCGGTCCTTCGCGAGGGGTGCATGTCGGCCTGTACGGTACCTGCCTGGATTGGGGGCGGGCTCTGGCCACTGTTGTTGCCTGCTCGTCGCGTTGCGGTGCCAGGTGTGGTCAGGGGGGGTCGGGTTTTTGGGCACGACTCAGAGACGTGGTCCCACCTGACCCGCCTTGGGCAAGGGGGTCTGCGGGGATGGGCCTGGCCACCCATACGCCTTCCCGCTCCGTGTGCCCCGCAGGAGGTTCGTTGGGGGTGGTCAGTGCCCCGTGGTGCTGAAAGAACCACGGAGGCATGGGGGCTGGCCGCTTTCGGCGATCAGTGCTGTTCGCGGAGCAGCACGTCGGTAAGGTGGCGCATCTCTATTTCTCTTATCTTCGTTATCCTCTTCCTTTTTTCTTCCGCCCCGTCGGCGTGTCGGAGTCACGATGCGCCATGGCTTTGTCGAGGAGGAGGAGGACGAGGAGGAAAAGGAGGAGGAGGGGGTGGAGGATAGGCGGAGGGCGAATCGAAACAGCTGCGGCTCTTCCGCCCGCCCCAGTTGCGTTCAAAACCTGTCTCCGACCCCTCCAGTGGCCCATCTTGGCCCGTTGGCCGAAGCGATCCAGCCGTGGCGACGCCACCAGGAGGCTGGAAAAAGAAGCAGAAATGCCAGGCAGGATCGCGTTTGCCTCGGCCTCCCCGGGCGGCCTGCCGGGGGAAGGTCGTCTTCGTCGCGAACAGCATGGCGTCCGAGCAGGCGCTGCAGAACCTGGGCGCGACGCTGGCCGCACGCTCCATGATCCGGCTGGACGGGGCAGCTGCCCTCACGGAGCAGCACCTCGTGTTTGCGGCGATGGGCGGGCTTTTTTTTTGACGATGCCCCGGGCTGCGCCAAGGCAACACCTCCCGGTAGGGCCGGCTGGCGTCGATGGTCTTCCCGAGTATCCCAGGGGCGGCCTCAACACCCGGGCGGCGGCGCCCC